CAATATATGACAATTAAAAAAATGGAAAATAGATAGCAATCAATCGCAGTGAGAAATCATGATGGGTAGAGAACTGGCCAGGGGAGCTGAAGGTGCTGAGGAGAACTCGTGCCTGGCATGGATAGGGGAAGAGGAGAGCTTCACAGGGTCCTGGAGAAAAGAGAAACCCTACAAGTGATGGATGGAAGAAGGAGTGAGGTAGAAATTTTTAATAAATATTTCTGCTGTAGACCTGGAAAACATCAGTGTTATGTTTCTGTATCATAGGCGGGTGATGATGTTTTTTCTAGCTCATTAGTAGCCAAGGAGGATTTTATATAAGGTCCAATGGAGATAGATACTTTTAAATGAAAAGGCCCTGACAGCTTGCACCCAAGAATCCCTAAAGAGTTGGCATGTGAGGCTGGTTTTTAATAAAGCTTACGGACTGGGAGAATGCCATCAAGAGCTGGTCGGGGTAACTGTGGGAGAGTTGGCAACAATTTGCTTATCTCTTCTGGGCAAAATAATTGAAGAGATGATATAAGATTCAATTGATAAAGAATTAAAGGATAGAAATATAATTCATGCCACTCAACTTAGATTTATGGCATATAGATCTTGTCAAATAAACCTGATTTCATTCTTCCAGATGACAACTTCGGTTGATAAATGTAGATGAAATAGACTCTGCAAGGCGTTGGGCGCGGCGCTGCGTGACATTGTGTGTAGGAAGGCCGAGCACTGGGCGGTATCGGTAGCACAGGTGATTAAGAGCTGGCCAACAGATTTGGGAATGCGGGGGCTTAGCTGGAGAAGCATCAGTGGATGGGAGAGGTCAGCAGGGGCTGGTGGGAGGCGCAGTGGTGGTTAGCATTTCGTCGGTGATTTAGAAATGAATATGCAGTTGTGACTGATTAGCGTTGTGGATAAAGCAAAGGCGGGTGGATGGATGAAGAGCAACAGGGACGGGTCTGTGGGGTGGTTTGGAAAGACTGTCAAGCGGGGCGTGTTGAGAGCACGGTTGGGTACAACCTGCCGTGGTGCCTGGCTGGAAGAGGGGAATTGGGGCTGTGCGTACAGATCCAAGGTGCGCAACCCCGGAAGGCAGCAGCTCTGCAGGAGGCTTAGCGGAAAACCAGCTGCTTCCCAGCACGATGCTGGGCTGAGAAGGGCTAGGCTGGTCCTGGAGTAGTGGAGGGGGATGGAGGAGTGGCTTCAGGATGGAAAAATAACTATATTTTGAAGTGTGCCTTGATTTCCAGATGCACAAGTACCCTTTGTGTGTGTGTGTGGGGGGAGCACATTGTGTACTAAGGGGCTTTTCAGTGTGTTGGCCAAAGAAAGGTCAACAGGAGTGAATGGGTAGAGGTTGGAGCCAGAGAAATTCAGGTGGACCCCAGTACCCCTCTGTGAGTGTGGTTAGCTGTGGGAACTGACTGTGGTGACAAGCAGTGGGTGCTCTTCTTTTGTCTTCTGAGCTGGTTTGAATGATTTTCACTGGGATATCGTGCTTTGCCCTAAAGACTGTTCGCGGGGCTGGAGGAGGTTACGCTTTACCCAGAGACATCGTGTTGGTCATGGCACAGGACAACTGAGCGAGACGTAATGCAGGAAAGGTCAGAGAGTGAGAGCTGGTGGTCCCTTTTGCCCTTAAATTCCTCGGTGCAAAACAGCCGAGGACACGGGCTCCGGCCCTGCTGCCGGTGGCAGAGGAGGGTTGGTTCGGCAGTGACCCTCTTCACATCTTGAGCTGAGGGATTCCTGCTAACCTCTTGGAAATCAGCTGAAAGCTCCGATGACGTCGCAACGCTGCTTTGGATAGCACGTCCCATCACATTGCCGCGGTGGATGATGAGGCACGAAGAGCCCCGTGGGACCTTCTCCAGCTCTGTCCTTGGCCAGCATCGCCTACTGCATCTCCCTGCTGTGCTTTCCTTGCTTGCCCGTGGTCTTGCCCCGATGCTTTAGCTGGGAAGCCCCTGTGGATGTAGAGGCTGGCCCATAGCTAGGAGATCTCAGTGGATCCACAGCCTTTGGGTCCTACAATCCCATCCGGCTTTTGTGGGGACCGGAACGCTGTACCAAAAAGCATGGTGGTGGGATGGGAGGAAGGAAAGGCGAGTCCCTTCCAAAACCAGGGCTTGCCGCGGCAGTCTAAGGACCCGTCTCGCCGCTGGCGGGCAACGCGTGGATTAGTGCCATAATTCTTGCAGTTTGGCAAGGCTGCATCAGACTGGAACGTATCTCTAGGTGGTGATATGGTCAGTCAATAGCCTTCATAATTAATCAAGCACTAATAGACAAATTAGAAATCGTGTCTCTTCAAAGCAGGAGGTGGAGGCAAATGGCTGGTGGCTTTTAACTGTTTCACTGCTTTATTTTATTGCCTGGTTTTATGTTGCTCCCTTGAAAATGGTGAGTTGTTTAGGGAAGTTTTGTACATAAACATGATTTTAAATTTAAATTATTATCTTGATTACCAAATGCGGATGGTGAATTGAAAACTTGTTTTTCAGGCAAGCAAATGAAGAATAATATTACATTTTACACTCCACTAAATCAATGTAGCCCTAATTTTGCCATGCAGGAAATCAATTCCAGTCTTTATAACAGTCGAAGATGTTATGAACAAAGTAATTTTGCAAATTATGGCAAGTAACACATTTATTGATGACTGTAGTTTAGGAATTTAGAATTTGTGAGCGCTGTAATATAATAAGGCCGTACTGGCAGGAGCTGAGTGAAATACAGATTATACGGTGAAACTGTAATGCATCATTTGCTATTAGTGGACTGGTAATAATTACCAGTTTCAAAGCAGCTTTTTCCATGTAATCTTTAGTCTCAGTCGTAACAGCCCTTCTCATTGACATTATGATTACACGAGCTGCCCTTATGATCTAGAATATCTAGTTGATGGGAATACTAAAATGTGGTAGCGAACGCTCGATGTTGTATCCTCATTAGAAGATAAAATGCTATTTTCTCTGACCTGATCTATAAGGTAGAGAGGCGAGATAGCGTTACATTGTTAGCTCCTACCGTGGTGTTAAAAACTTCCACTTCATTACGGCGAAGCAAGATGAAATTTTCCCATTTAAGATTTTTTTCCTTAGCTCAAAAATGAGCATAGGAATGTGAAGGTCCAATTGAATTTCCCTCTAATTTCAGCAGATTTAAGTATTTATCTGCGCTCGCATGCCTGGCACATACTAAACACCACAATGCATTTTTATTCCGACGCCAGCTTCAGGATGAAAACGTTAACTATTATTCCAAGGGCTTTTAAAGTGATTAAAGTGTTAAATGCCTGCCGTAGATGGTCGAGCCTCTTTCTACTCGCCCGATTCAGCTTGTCAGGCCAAACGCAGGAGAACCGCAGGGCTGGGAGGCAGGGAGGAAAGCTGCGCCGGGGCGCTGCAGCCGGCGCGGCGGGCTGCCTGCCTCTCCTATCCCCAAATCATCACGCAGCGCGCTGGAGAACCAAAATGCCCACATGAAGCTTTTTTTCCCTTCCTCCCGAGTGAGATGAGAAACAAGATGGGCGCAGAAGCAGCGATGTTTTCTTTCCAAATGTGCCTCGTTGGATTTTTTTTTCTTTTCTTTTCCTTTTGTATTAGGCAAATGGGGGAAACCTAATGGGGGCAGCTCTCGGTGCGGCATGGAAAGGGGTTTACCCAGCAGCGGTGCCTGCGGAGCAGACCCCTCGTAATGCCGATGTCGGGTCAGGGCAGGCGTACGTGGTGCCGGCAGGTACCACCCCAAGCACTGATGTCTTTGGAGGGCTCCCGTGGTTTATTCAAACCTCAAGAGCATGCGTTTTTTTCTTTTAAAATGTCACTAATCAGCAGCTCTGCGAGAACTGCCGGGCAGGGCTGGAAATGAATTTTTATCCTCCTCTTAGCTCTGGTTTCAGTTTACCAGCATTTAGTAAAAAACATCCAGAGGGGGGTGGAAGTGAATTATTCGCAAAATTACAGTAATCGATAAAAGCGCACTCACCTTCGCCATATCTCACGCCACTCTGGTCTCGCAGACGGCCCTCAAAAAGTTATTCATCCCCCTTGTTTTGCCGTGTATTAGAAGGGGCTGCTTTCTGCTGTCATTATTAGCCGTCTTTTTGTTTAGTTATTTATTAGTTGGTTGCTCTTTTATAACGTCCGTGTTATCTCCAAAAATAAATTATCATGAAATAGAGTTAGCTCGCCACTTGCCAAAGTGGCATTTACCATCCTCAGCTTCTTTTCAGTGCGAGAGAAATCATGCGGCTCCGGCAGGGCGCTCGGCCAGGCCTCCTGGCCACCCTCCAGCTCTTTCCCCGGCGAAGCTGCCGCTCTCTCTGCCTTCCCCTCTCCCTGTCCCGCACACTATTTTATTTCATTTTCTTTTTCAATTTCCTACCCCCCTCCCCCGGAGCGGAATCTCTGCTGAGGAAGCAGGAGATGCGGCCTAATCTTGTACACGTTGTTAGTCTCTCAAAATAAGGCTAATAACGTGACGTTGCCCGGCTTGCTTAGCAGTTGTGGTGCGCTGGGTTGCTGCTTTGAACTGATGCATGTGGTTTTTTGGAGTGCTTTTCAGAAGGGGATGTATTTATTTTAGATCGGTCGGTCGGTCTGTCTATCGATCTATCCATCTATTTATTGATTTGCTCCCCAATTTCAAGGTTAGCAGCCTCTTGCAGCGTAGTATGCCGAGTCACAGCTGGCATCAACCGACTTCATCATCTTTTTCTTTTATAGCATTTTTTTTTGCCGTGGTTACTTGCCAGGGTTCAGTGTTGACCCCAGGGCTGGGGATGGCGGGAGGAGGTGGGCGTGTTTTGGGTGGGTCTGGACCTCCCCATCGCACCCCTCACCTCCTCCCGTCCCCCTTCCCCTGCCTGCGCCTGAGCGGGGACGTCCCTTCCCCGGCTCCCAGCTGAGCGTCCCGGAGGAGAGGAGCTTAGGCGGGGAGGCGAGCTCTCGCCCGCCGGTGGGCGGCCGGAGATTGACGCTGCTTGTTGTGTTATTTTGCAGGTAAAGACGAGCCCAGCAGCTACACGTGTACGACTTGTAAACAGCCTTTCAACAGCGCCTGGTTCCTCTTGCAGCACGCACAGAACACGCACGGCTTACGGATCTACCTAGAAAGCGAGCACGGCAGCCCCCTGACGCCACGGGTTGGTATCCCAACAGGACTAGGTGCAGAGTGCCCTTCCCAGCCACCTCTCCACGGGATTCACATTGCAGACAATAACCCTTTTAACCTGCTCAGAATACCCGGCTCGGTCTCGAGGGAGGCGTCGGGGCTGGGAGAAGGGCGTTTCCCACCCACGCCGCCCCTCTTTAGCCCTCCCCCGAGGCACCATTTGGATCCGCATCGCATTGAGCGCCTGGGTGCGGAAGAAATGGCTCTGGCCACCCATCACCCTAGTGCCTTTGACAGGGTGCTGCGACTGAACCCCATGGCGATGGAGCCCCCCGCTATGGATTTCTCCCGGAGGCTGCGGGAGCTGGCCGGCAACACCTCCAGCCCGCCCTTGTCCCCGAGCCGGCCCAGCCCTATGCAAAGGTTGCTGCAGCCCTTCCAGCCCGGCAGCAAGCCCCCGTTCCTGGCCACGCCGCCCCTTCCTCCTCTGCAGTCTGCTCCTCCTCCCTCCCAGCCGCCCATGAAGTCCAAGTCCTGCGAGTTCTGCGGGAAGACCTTCAAGTTTCAGAGCAACCTGGTGGTCCACCGCCACACCGGGGAGAAGCCCTACAAGTGCAACCTCTGCGACCACGCCTGCACGCAGGCCAGCAAGCTGAAGCGCCACATGAAGACCCACATGCACAAGTCCTCCCCCATGACGGTGAAGTCGGACGACGGGCTCTCCACCGCCAGCTCCCCCGAGCCGGGCACCAG